GAAATTGTAATTTAAAAATTAAAAAAAATTCACTAAAAATGATTTGTCCCATTTCTACTGACTCCCCCCATATATATATATGGTTTATATAATATTTATATATATTTTAAAGGCTGACAATTATTAGCTAATTATACCTCACCTGAGATTTTTAATTTGATCTCTCAAAGGTCAGTCATTTAATAAATATAAATTGTATATATGACAAAATCAAATTTGGTACATAACAAATTCGAATTTATCTCATATATTGTTGTACAATTGTAACAAAATTGAATTTATCATGTAATATTCTCGAATTTATCACATGACAAATTTGATTTTGTTACAATTGTACAACAATATATGTGATAAATTCGAATTTGCTATATGTCAAATTTGATTTTATCATATATACTATTTATATTTATCAAATGACTAACTTTTGGGAGGTCAAATTAAAATCCTAGAGGCAGTATAATTAACTAATAATTGTCAGCCTCCTTTTTATTTTATTTTATTTTATTTTTTATAAATTAGATATCAAAAGTACTTAATATGAATAAACTAAGAGCTGATATTAAATACAAACATTGTCAACAACAAAATATTAATATTTATATAAATTTAAAAGCAAATAAAACTCCAGCTATAGATAAAATAATTTTAGAAACAAATAAAACTTCAGAAATAGATAAAACAAATTCTAATACTAATAATAAAGAAAACAATTATGAAATAATAAATTAAGATAATGAACAACCATATTATAATAAAATTAATAGTAAAAAAGTATAATAAATCAGAAAAAGAAAAAACTTATGAAGAAAATAAAATACTTTCTATTTCTGAAAAAGATTTTAGAGAATTTTTTTAAGAATAGGCTAAGTTACTAGAAAAGAAATAAAATACAAGTTTGAATAAAGATTATATTAATATTAATTTAGATAATATGATCTATTTTACTTTAGATAAAAATGCTAAATAGCAATTAAAAAATTTGTTTACTATATTAGAGTTGCTATTAACTAATTAGTAAATATTAAAATCTTATCAACTGACTTATTAATTATATATGTTGAAAGTAATTCAGCATATTTTTTTTAGTTTTCATTTAGGGCAGTGTCATTTATCACCTGATTTTTTTTTATCAGAAGCTTACCCCCTCCCTCCTTTTAATATATAATTTGATCAGATCCTTATATATAATTTTAAAATTTTTACCTTCCCTCTCCTCCTAAAAAATCACCTGATTTTTGTCATGTCCCTTACTGTAAAATCTGGACACATATATCTCAGGTATTTCTATTACTCAATTTTGTACTCATATACCTCTATATGGAGTATATCATATTAAGACAATATATTTTACTATATCTATCTGAGATGATATATATAGTATATATAATACCTATATATCTGAGTATAAGTCACCAACTGGCTTTTAAAACTGCTAGAGAGTATATTATATGTGTTTAGATTTTACAATATATATAAATAATTTTGCATATTGGTATATTTTATTTAAAGAAATCCAGTTTTTTAAAATAAACATTAATATGTTAAAATAAGGTTTTAATCTATTGTTAGTAAATAAATATTAATTGATGCATTTAATACTTATATTAAAATTAGATAGTTTTTTGCCTGGTTAGCAGGTTTTTATATCTGTAGACAAGTTCTTTTAGATTTTAGAATAGTCTTTTAACTCTTTTATAATTTGGTTGTTTTCTTTATATATTTGTTTTTTCTTCATATTTACTCTATTTTCATTATACACTTACGCTTTTTTTTCTTTTTTACTTTTCTATAAGAAAGTGTTATCAGATTGGCTGCATTCTATTGTAGAGTAGTGATTCTGACAAGAGCAGTGAAAACTATTCATTGATATTAGAGCTCAAATCTTCAGAAAGTTGAGGATCCTAGTGAAGGAAAATATTTACTTAGGTGGATCGCTTCTGGGTTATACTTTAGCACTTAATTCTGGTTTGCTAGAATTAGGTTGCAATAATGAGACAGATCGAGAGATTCTTTATTTAGACAGGCATAAACCAGTTTATGACAGATAATGTAGATTTAGCTAACTGAATATCTATTTGTACTATAATTTGTTGCTAATTTATAAGATAAAGGAAGGATTGCTAAAGTAAAAAAAATAAATACTTATATTAAAATCTAGTTTATTTAAAAAATACAATATTTTATTTAATTATTCTTCAATTCATTAACTAGTATTATTAAAGTGATTAGTACTATATTAATAAATATTATATAATATAATACTATTTTTAATTAATTATAAAATAAGGTAAATATATACTAGATAAATATGATTATTTAAAAAATTTAGAAATTTAAAATTTAATTAACTAGCTTAATTTTTGCAGATTTCAAGACTAGTATATTAATTATTTTAACAGTAATATTCTATAATTTATTAACTTATATCAAATTAATTACATTGAATTGATCTTTAATTTATATAATTTACAAATTTAAAAAAGATTGCAGTTGGCCTAATATATTATATCAATTTTGTATCTTGTATAGACAAGCCAATATATAGTAAGACTTATTTGCAAGAAATACTAATTACTCAGATATTTTGTCTGGAGCATAGCAACAGACACTCAATTTCTATGCATTAAGTGATACAAAAGTTACGTTTTTGATGTGTTTCGACCATCAACTGTTTCTTTTTGATACATTAACATAATTATTATAATTAACATATCAATAACATAACTTCAAAATTTTTTGTCTGTCCCGTCGTATAACGCATAATTACAAAACTATTTTAAAAACAACAATTGATTATTGGTATAGTTAGAGATATTATTAAATATGATAATGCTCCAGACTTATATTGGTTCCTTATTTTTAGTAATAATTGCTAAAGGTATTATTGTATTCAATTGTTTGAAATTGAGTTTTGCTAAATAAGTAAATCATGCTAAAAAAAATTCAGATTTTAAAAATATTAATTTATATTGTTAAAACTTGAAATTATACTTGGGTAAACATTTTTATTATATAGTATAATAAATTATCTGGATAATCAAATAATTCAGATAGAAATTTTCTTAACAAGTATAATCTCTAGTTAAATCTGTTTTTTTTTTAGTATCACTTATATTACTATATATATTAAACCAATATTTACTATATTTAAATAAACTTTTGTAGTATTACAATTGTCTTGTTCTGAAAAACTAGTATTTAAAATATTTTATTTTTGTAAAGCCAATAATTTTACTTTTTTTTTATTTTTTATAGTCAAGGTTAGCCTCTTTGGCATTTCACTTTTATTAGATTGTAGAATCATGTAGTGCCCTTATTAAGGGGGCCCCAGACAAGTACATTCTGAAAAGGGTATATTTTAACTATACCTGCGTCTTTTAAGCACCTAATTTAAGTAGTCTGCCTATTACTAGATTTTATATTAGATGCTATATCTGTAATACACTATTATTTAAATTATCTAATTAAATCCTCTGATCTGAGTTTCCTATACCAATCCATTTAACCTTACCCAGAACATGTGATACATAAGTCAGTCCAAGTTCTAAAATCGTCACAAGCTATCTATAGGACTATCAGCATGATTAAATGATTTATCCTCAAGTGCATTACCTATTAGAGCAGTCCAGTATCACTATTATCATATTATCTAATCTTTTTTGGATAGATCTTGCTAGATAGATTCTATACCTTTATGGGCAAGCCACACTGCCAATTCTTTTTGCAAATAAGTTTATCAGATAGGTTCCAAACCTTTACGGGCAGGCCACACACCCGAACCCTTTGGTCCTTGCAAAGTTCATTCCAATTCCAATACCCACATCAAGCTAGTCCTTATTCTGATCTCTTCCCAACTACTAAACTAGTTAGCTCAGATGGGTCATTGTATCTAGGCTTTAAGTATCTTCCAGTTTTACTTCTCTTGGTTTCTAATTCCATAGCATAGGACCTTTTCTTCTGATACAAATCCAGTGATCAGGTTGGTAGATCCTTCTTGTTCCAAGGTTTTCATCTGGTTTTTCGGTCTCTGATTTCTGATTTTTCACAGTATTATCGAAAATCATCACTATTTTCTTACTCAGGTCTTGCCAAACGGGTTTCAATTATTCTGGTTTCTTGGATTTGGATCACCCAAGAGCTTTCATTTCAAGATGGTAATACTAAGATTACAGATGATATACCCAACCGATCATTGAATAATTGTTATCAGTACACAGGCCTATTTTTCTAAAAACATCTCTGGTGGGATTTGAACTCTAGAACTGCTGCTTGGGGAGTGACAACTTAACCAGCCAATAATTTTACTAAAGATCAAACAATTTAATATATATATATATTTTTTTGTTTTTAAGGTGATCTCTTTGCCATGCTGCTTTTTATTTAAGAGTAGAGTAAAAGATCTATATTTTTAATAGTAATTATGTTACTAAATTTTTTTATAATATAGTAACATTTAATTGAAATCAGGTGATGATCATATGTTATTTATATTGTGTAACTTAGGCAAATTTTGTATAACTTAGGCAAATCAAAATAGTAAAAACATATGAAAATTGATTTTTACTATATTTGTCAAGTAATTACTATTAAAAATAAAGAGCATTCACCCTATCTTTAAATATTAGTAGTATTTTTAACTATCAGACATATTTCGATAGCTGTATATATTTGTAGAATACAACTAGTCATATTTGCACTTTTTGAATGCCTATTTAAATATCTATCTATTACTAGGTTCTATACTAGATACTGTACATGCATTCTGACTAAGGAGGTATCCATTTAAACCCTCTGTGCCTTTGGGCTTCCTCTTTTCTCTTTTATAACTAATGGTAGCTAGTCTTAAATTAGTTTACAAATAGAAAATTAAGAGGTGTTTTGCTACACTTAGATGGTTATACAAGATATAATAGATAGTTTAAAATTAATATTATCTTAATACAAATCTTTAACTAATCTTATCATGTATATAGCAAATTCAAAATAAAAAAAAAATCTCTCTATATCTATATACTATCCCTTTTATATTCAAGTAATGATACTTAGTATCACCTTATTTTCACATGCTAGTTTAGGCTTTAAAGCAGTCTCTACCATTTTAGAGAGTTCTTTGACCTCAAGATAAACCTGCTAAAGCCTTCTATATCTATATTTAGACTAACTTAGACTTCGGTAACTTACATCTAGTCTGAAAACAAGTACTTGCAAGCTAAAGCTGCTATTATTATCTACTTCTGCCTTTATAGAGTTTATTCATATCCTAGCTTCGGTACTCATCTAATCAGAAACCCTTCCACTGTTTCACTAAACTTTCAATCTAGATAGCTGGTTTGGTCTACAAGTTGTATTATCTGCTTTTCTACTGGCTTAATCTGAATACCAGCTTGTGCTCTTTTTTTTTGATCAATTCCAGCAGCCTGATTGGTATAATGCTCACCAAACACCTAGTTCTTGTCCAGATTCACAGCTTATTGGTTCTCTTTTTAGACTTTCTAGAACTATTAAAAGTATGCACTACTTCTCTACTTGAGACTTGCCAAGTGGGTTTCTATTCAGAACTAGTCTATGGATTTACACAAATCACAGTGGCTTATCATAGGTTTATATCACTTTTTATCAGTTTGTATCTCTTTGTATAACTTCTCTATTATACAAATGCTCTATAATCTTCCAAGTCTGTATTACCACCTCTGATAGGGCTTGCAAAATAAGCTATTCATTAAGCGATCATTACCCCTTACACCTATTTAGTTTGATCATTATTACAGAATTTATATCCTAATATCCAAATAGTTATTATTATATAAAAGAATTCGATTTTTCATCATGGGTAGGAATTGAACTCTGAATGTGTTATTTGGGGTGACAACTTGACCACTTCACTATATTGTCACACTTCTTAATTTAATATATTTTAAATATTAAAATTATTAAGATTACAGATTTATTTATTTATTTATTATATTAATTAATTAATTTCAGTTTAAACTTTTAAAGTTAACAAAATATGATATATAAACCTGCTTTATATAATATAATAAAAATTAATAACCATTCGAAAAAGACCTTGCTCTACTAATAATAGATATAAATAATAAAAGTAAAAGCAACAAAATGATATGAATTATATAAAGATCATTAATGAAGCTTTAATTAATAAATAATAAATTTATTAAAATTATTATTATTTTTTGTTAAGTTGCTATTTTATACAGTTATATTATATTATTTTAAAATATATATTAGGTTTAGAAACATATATCACAGTTTTAGAAATTAGAGACAATTGTTCTGGACTGTCTTAAACATTATGTTCTAGACCAATATTCTTATCCTATATATAATATTGCTTATAAATATTTAATAAATTGTTATTAGTTTTCTTTGCTAAGTTTGAAAAAAATTATTATTTAGTATAATAATAATAATATTATTTTTATCTATTAAATTCAAAGTTATTAAAAGATATAACAACTTAGTGAAGTTGATAAATTGTTATATTTTCAAGTAGCAAGACAAAAGTTTGAATCCTATTAGTAATAAAATTTAAATTTTACAGAATATATTATAGCAGACTGTGTATATTTGATAGGTTAGTACCTATAATCTTGATTGTACAAACTTAAAATTAAAAGCTATAAAATATTAGTATAATGTAAGAGTTATACAAAATTTGAGTAAAGCAGTTAAATAAATCTAGAGATTGGGATATATGAAAGCCTGCTTAGCAAAATCTAAATAAAAAGATAGCACAGATCTTTAACAATATTATATAAAAAATCATCAATTAAAAACTAAAAAACTGAATAAAACTAAAATATTTAGCAATTATTTTATTAACCAGACTATTAAACAAGTAACTAAAGAAAAAGAACCTAATTATAAAGACCAGAGACAGATTACAGCCCTTCTGAGCAACAGATACAGGATGTAGATGAGATTTTTTAGGTTATGTAATCAATCAACTTCTGATCTAAATCACAATTATGTGATCACATGATCATAACCTGTCACTATAGCAATCTGTGATCGACCAATCAAAATCAACCACGTGATCACACAACTTTTTATTAAAAAAAAATAAATTATATCATTTTTTATTAAAAAATAAAAAATAAAATTGCATCATTTTTTATTAAAAAATTACAAAAAATTATATCAACTATTATTATTATTAAAAAAAAAATTAACCACTAAATCTTTAACCAAAAATCAACTATAATTTTAATTGCATAATGAATATTTCAACAATATAATGTGACTAATTCCAAGCCCAAAATGCTAACAAGCTCCAAGAACGATATAACAAAAGCTTAAACAATGATGCTGAAAGAATAAAAGAATGAAACCCACCAACAAAAACTTCGACAATGAAAAATGACTACAATAAGAAGGCAAAATCACATCAGAAAAATTTAACAAATTATAGTCATAAAGGCTCTTACAAAATTTCAGTTCTAATTTCTACCATTTGACGTTCTAACAAAGCTTAATCTATAAAAGAGAAAAAGAATTAGTTCAAGCCAACAAGAAAAAAAATTAAAAGTAAACAACGAAAAAAAATTACTAACAGTACTTATCCTACAAGATTCTATGTTCTAATATCCACTATTCGACATTTAATGAAGCTAAACCTACAAAAGAAAAAAAGAATTAGTTCAAACCAACAAGAAAAAAAAAAGCAAACAACAAAAAAAAATTACCAACAACACTTATCTTACAAGATCCTGGTTCTAATATTTACTATTTGACATTTTAATAAAGCTCAACAAAACTAAACTTATAAAAGAGAAAAAAAATTAGTTCAAGCCAATAAGAAAAAAAAACCAAACAATAAAAAAAAAAACCACCAACAGTACTTATCTTACAAGATCCTGTGTTCTAATATTCACTATTTGACGTTTTAATAAAGCTCAACGAAGCTAACCTACAAAAGAGAAAAAAATTAATTCAAGCCGACAAAAAAAAAAAACAACTAATAAAAAAAAATCACCAACAGTACTTATCTTACAAGTTCTTTGTTCTAATATCCACTAATTAACATTCTAACGAAGCTCAATGAAGCTAAACCTACAAAAGAGAATAAAATTAGTTCAAGCTACAAGAAAAAAAAAAGCAACTAAAAGATTCTGTGTTCTAATATCCATCATTCAACGTTTCAATGAAGATAAACCTACAAAAGAGAAAAAGAATTAGTTTAAACTAACAAGAAAAAAAAAGCAAACAATGAAAAAAAACACTAACAGTATTTATCTTACAAGATTACATGTTCTAATCTTCACTATTCAACATTCCAACTAGCTGAACCTACAAAAGAAAAAAAAATTAACTTAAACCAATAAGAAAAAAAGCAAACAACAGAAAAAACCAACAGTACTTATCTTATAAGATCACATATTTTAATCTCTACTATTTGATGTTTTAACGAGGATAAAGCTACAAAAAAAAAAAGAATTAGTTCAAGTTGACAAAGAAAGAAAAAAAAAGCAAATGATAAAAAAAAACCTCCCAACAGTACTTATCTTGCAAAAGCCCAGTTCTAATCTTGCTTCAACTAAGCTAAACCTACAAAAGAAAAGAATTAGTTCAAAAAAAAAAAAAAGAAGCAAATAACAAAAAAATCTTCCAATAGTACTTACAAGATCTGAAAAAAGAAATTACTTACAGATTTCTAGTTTTAAGATTCTAATAAATGAAAAACAGAAAAGAAGAAAAAAGAACTTTACAAAATCCTTCAATTTTGCAAAATATTTTTAATATATTAATATTATATATATAATAAATTAATTATATAATAAAAATATTATAATTTTTTTAATACTTTTAATATTATAGCTATAAGATTTGAGCAATTTTAAACATATATGTTAAGTTAGTTATAACTTTATTTTTATTATATGTTAAAAATATTATATAAAATATAATTATTATATATTAATTATATAAATATTGCTAATTTTAACTGGAGGAAATCACTGGTATGTAATTAGCCAATAAAATTGCAGGATCAGGTGTAACATATAAATTAATTTTGTATGACAAAAACAAAGAATTTTTTAAAAAATCGCAAATATCTTAAAAATTTGCTTATGAAACTCTCTTTTGGGTTTTAACAAAAAAAATTTCTTGTTAAATTTTGCATATAATCTATACCCTGTTCTAATTCTAATCATAGGCTGTGATTCTTACTTTAAATTAAAAGAGGTAAATTTTTTTAATTGATACTGATCTATGTGTTACACATACTAGTGATTTTCCTTTTAGTTAATCATAGTTATTTCCTAATTATATAATTAATATATAATAAAAATATAATAAAAATATTACTAATTTTAAAATATAATTATTATATTACTATTATATATTAATAATATACTAAAAATATAATTACTATATTTATGTTAACTTTATTGTAAATATATTTTCAAAAAATTAAAGATTCTGCAAAGATTTCAAATCTTCCTCTAAGCCTTTAATTTACTAGAAGCTTAAATTCTTTGGTTATAGGCTAGTGCTACTCACTATATTAGAATTAACTTTTCTTTTTATAAAAACAAAAAATAAATACAAATTTAAAAAACAAGAATAAAAAAAGAAAAAATACTTTAATATCAAATTCTGGTTTACTTATACAAATAAAACAAATAATAATAAAAAAAAACAAAAAAAAAACAAAAATAGCACTATTAAACTTATGTCAAATTGTAAATTTATATAATACTACTAAATAAACTAGTCTAGTTTCTATACTAGTTATTTATATCTATATCTAGAATGTAAAAATATCAAAAACTATCTAGTTTTAAGTTGAGCTTTAAGCTTAAAATTTTTGCTTGTAATTCTTACAAATCTTCTGCAATGTTTTACAGCTATAATATAAACCTATGCATAATCTTATACTATTTATTTCAAAATATACATATATATATATATGTATTTTTTTCAATAGCAATCATTGTTATTGATTTTTTAATATAGATATGTTAATTTTCTCACTTTTTGATAAAATTTTATAAAGAGCTGAAAGTAAAATGTTAAAAAAGATTTCAATTAACAGGTAACCTTAAATTTTAGAAAAAATTATATTAAAAACTCATTTGTTATTCTCCTTTAGATCAACTATTCTTTAACTTCATCAACAGAAACAATACTTTTATTAAAATTTTTATATAAAAGCACCACCTTTTTGCCGATTATTTTCTACATAAATGCTTTTAACTTGCATTTTAAATATACAGAGAAGTCTAATAAAACCAGATAACCTTAACCTTTGTAAAAACCATTATTTGTATAATTGTCTCTTCTACTTTTCTCTAACAAGTTTCTGTTTTTATTAATCATAAATTTGATATGAATAATCGTCAAAGAGAATTTTTCAGTTTAAATATTTTTTTTTGTTTTTTTTTAAAATATATATATTATTAAAATAGAGTTAGATACAAAACTTCTTTATTTTATAATATGAAAATTTTGAGGCCCAACACAGGTTTATAATTGTGACTTATCAAATATTTTTTCTTTCATTACCATCCCTCTTCTTTTTAATATTAGTATTAGTATTAGTATTAATGTTTTTTTTGTTTTTTTTCACTTAGATGTCATCAGATTGATAGTATCCTATTGTAGAGCAATGATTTGACAAAGCCTTCTAAGATAGATAAGTTTTTTATAAATTTATTGTACTTTGTCTCTTGTAGATAGATCTGCCCAGTGCAGCTGGTTACTTAAAAAGTACTCCTAGAAGTAACTGCAGGATGTTAGGCCTAAATATTAAACTCAACATTTTGTCTACCTGTAACAAAATAATTTTAATAAAAGATCACTGGCAAGACGGCCAAAGTGAAAAAAATAATAAATAAATAAAAAAATAAAATAAAATAAATGTAAAAATGGGCCATTTTTTTGTCGGGATTATGACCTGTCGGGATTGTGCTTGTCGGGATTTTGACCAGCTATGCTTTGCCGCTAATTATAAAGTCTAGTCAGCTAATAGATTTTATCAGCTAATCCAAATTAACTACAATCACTATTATATACTGTATATACTGTAAATAGTGTATATGTACTGCATAAAATAAGTAAATTATCAACCCTTACTATGTATAACCAATAAATCAATACTTTTATTATATGCTGTAGTTAGCAATCATCTATTATAAAAATAATGATAAAAAAACATGTCACCAAATATATATTGCAAAATAACAAAGCAAGTTATAAATTTACTAAAATCCATAATTTTCAAATTTGTAATCCGCTCTAGCATTCCGAATGAGTTAGGAAAAACATCAATACCAAATTGATCAACCACAATAATGAACGATGGCAAGTGGGTACCTTAATAAATGATTACTAGCAATTACAATATTCAGTTCTTTGACCCAGAACACCCAGAACATGCTATTGCAAACACTGAAACAAAGCATATCCAACGATGCCACCAATAAAAAAGATTTCAACTTCAAATATGTAAAGTTTACATATATAGCAGAAAGTAAAAGCAAACTACGCATATAAAACCAATCTAAAGATCTTTTTTTTTTTTTTTTTTAGTGATTTTTAGATTTTTTGTTTCATTCTCTTTATAATTTTTCCTACCTTTTAGAATAAATTGCAATAATTCTTTCACTAACTTTAATACATCCGTCAATGTGCAAACCAGTAATTATTCCACTTACGATACAAGAGCTGGCCGTTTTGGCATGTCAGAAAGTCGATCACCAGGAGGAGACTTTCGTTTAGTAGTGTTTAATAGCATAAATGATGAGTTTGTGAAAACACAAATAAAACAGAACTGCACAGTTAGTTATGAATGAAATTTACCGAATCAGGTTTTCGTTTTCCAAGAACAGTATTTGATGCTGCATCGCCACCTGACTGTGCATTTTCTTGATTCTAAGGAAATGAATATTAGTAAGATGAGATTACGATAGTCACACAAATTCATGAAAGTTCAATAAACCTTTAGAGCATCCGCATGACAAGTTGCGTGATAAATAACACCATCAACTTCTATAGCATTTCTAAACAGCCATTCTTCATCCGCATCATTCCAGAAAACTTGAAATTTTTCTTGACAAATAGTACAAGGCTTACCAGCCCTTTCAGGATCAAGTGGAACAATAACAGTAGATTCCTTGACTACCTCGTCCTTTTTTGGTTGCGAAGCACCAACTGTGCTTTTAGCAGCGTTCGCATTTTCAAAGTCAAAAAAAGCTGGCGATTGTGTGCTTTTTATTTCTGCTTCACGTGAGTGAATCCAGTCCTTGAAAATATTAAATTTATAGAATTGCTCCTTAAAAGATTTTCCAATGCTCAAAAAGATTATTATGAAATTTTGAAAACATGATATATTTACCGACCTCTTCACTAACAAACCAACTTCGACTCTGTGCTTTCTTGGCTTTCTCCTTCATTCTGCGATTTTGGCGAAAATGCCAATCAAGATGAGCATCCATTTTCGCCTTACCTCCTTCATCCCTGGCATATCGAAAACCACATTGTTTGCATTGAAGAGGCAAGGCGTCATATAATATTGCGATGACACCATCACGTTTACTAGTGGTTGTTAAGATAATTAGCATTAGCATTAACCTCTTTGGAATTTGTAAAATGCACTAGATCAGACCTACCGTTGGATGTCATTACTTGTTAATTGAATTTTTTCTAAATCATTCACATGCATAATGGTTGTTGGAGCATCACTAGCTGCAGAACCTGACGGGGGAGGTGTAGGAGTACTTCCTCCAACAAATCCACCTACATTGGTGGATGTTACGGTGCCACCCACACCCCCAACTATGTTCCCACTTCCACCGAGTAGACCAAAATCCATTAAATTTTTTACCAATGCATTGGGATCAGGTACAAGAGCACTATGCGGTGGAACAGGTGGTGGTACTACGGATGCTGGTGGCATGGAAACCGGTGTAGGAACGGGAGGATTAAGAATGGGTACTAAATTTGATGTTGTGAGATGAAGTAGATGCAACATTAAGAAGAGTAGATGACGTGTAATATTTATAACATACCGGTAAAAGGAAAATTAAGAGCATTCACAGCAGGAGGTTGAGTGGGAGCTGCCGAGGGAACGGATAATTGCGTAGCAAAGAATTGGCGAACTTGTTGTATTTGATCATTTGTGAGAGGCGCTTTCTGAATAGCTTCAGAGAGCTATATGACGAAATGAATGTTAGCAAATTAAAAAGTCAGGGATAAGCAAATTATTGCTAACCTGTTGTAAACTTCCAAGTTGATTTTGGTAATGTAAATCACTAGGATTTTGCAATGCATATTGTTGGTGTTGGACAATCAATTGCTGACATTCTTGTAAAAGTCTTTGTTGATCCGGCGGAGGAGCAAACACTTGACTTTGTTGCAATGGTTGAGTGGGCGCTTTGGTTGTATACTAGTAAAACGAATACGAATGAAAGAAAGTTAGTCATATTGCGAATGGTATGGCAATGTGCATGTCTAAATTTTATCGAATGTTAAAGGTTAATTCATTATTGGGCATGGTGGCTGCTTTCATATTTGTGAAAGGGGGAGAGGGAAATAGAATATAATTTTATTTGTTTTCAAGAGAACATATCTCCTTTCATTTTGTATCTTTCGTTTATTTATGCTTTTCGTTTATAGATATTTTTTTCATCATTGTTGATATTATTTTTCAAAATTTTTTTTTCTTTACTTAGTATTCGTTTTTTTTTTTTTTTTTTTCTTTTGAAATCTTATTTTTTTTTTTTTTTTATTAATTTTTTAGATTTTTTTTCTTTTTTTTTTTATATCTTTTTTAATTTTATTTTATTTTTTTTATTTTTTTTGATCTTTTTTTTTAAATCTTATTTTCAGTTTTATTATTTTTATTATTATTGTTTTTTTTTTTGATTCACTTGTAATATTGCTAAACCGAGAATTCATTATACATCGGTTACATCCCTTATATCCCTTTAATGTGAACAAGGTTGTTTATAATTGATGTATATTTGTTATTAATAGTATTCCCATCAACATTGTAACCAACATCGAAATTATTAGAGTGGAGAGTCTGGATTATCGATGAACTAGAGATGCTGGACAATATAGTGTTTAAAGAAAAGATCATGACAATAATAAAGTAATAATACATGAAATTTCACGAAAATATGAAAGGTAACTATTCTTAAATAAATTATGAACATGGAAATCGTAGAGACGCAGACGCATACGCAAACGTAGAAAAAACAACAGAACATAAAAGGAACAAAAAACGAATCAAAATATCGAAAGCATTATGTCAACAAACTAACCTGCTGAGTGTTGTAATATCCTTGTCGGTTTGGCGTTGCTGTGTATCCCGATATCCCATTATTGTATCTAGCGTTATCAACCCATTGATTTGCCGTTTGTTGGACTGGTTGAACCTGGGTAACTGGCTGAACTTGTAACTGCTGATTTTGTTGTGATTGTTGTAATTGCTGTGCCTGTTGTTGATAAGTTGTCAAAGTGTTCTGACCCTATAATATAAGTTTAAAATTTAGGAATAAAAAGGATCGAATAGTTTTGATATGTTCTGCCATTAGAAATGTGAGAAATAATCGAAGATGACTCTTACGATAGCCCCACTTAAGAAATTAGGATTAATATGAATATGTCTTCCGACATCTATTGATCCGCGTGATTGCAATCTCAACTGCTGCTTCAATAAAGCTCTTTCAATTTGACCAGTTACTTCAGTTGAATACACTGGCGCACCTGTTGGGCCACTTTTCCATGTGGCCAAAACTCGCTCAAGTTTTTGTTTTGTTGGTTGATCTACGACATCATACGTATCCATAAAAGTGTTGCAAAGGTTTCGGGCGAACAATTGGATATATATACCACCAACATTTTTGCTAATAGAATCAAGGAGATATAACACGGGTAGCTTGTGTGGTGGCGGACACTTTACGTGTTAAAGATATAAATGAATTAAGTTTAAAATAAATCATGCAAAAATCGAAAACTGTGTCAAAGCATTCCTAACTACGACTTATTAACTAGAAAGTAGCTAGTATACATAATAAGGTCTTTGATCCAATTTGCTTTGATATTCTAAAGAGAAAAAAAACTCACAGTTCTGATTTGGTCTTCAATGGCTTGTACAATTGCCCTTGCAGCCGGTAAGTTCTCTTGAGCAATGATAGTTAGGTTTGTTATTATTGGCTTTGAGTTAAACGTCAAATCTTGTAGTGACGCTCGGTAATCTTGCCGAACACTCTCCAGATCAATTTCGAGACTCGCCATACGTTTTTTTTTCCAGTATCCTTTTTTTTTTTTTTTTTTTTGAAATCTGGATTTATAAGATTTATATATAACTTTGTAAAGCCTCATGCAATGTCAAATCAGTCACGTGAATTACGCCAAGCTAGATGCATGGATTTGATGAATTGTTGATCGTCTAGCGTATAGCTCATTTAGGGTGAAAATAATCCGCGTTCTTTAGATGCGCAGCCCGCATTACTTCTCTTATTTGGATTTTTCATGCATGAAATGACTTCGTTATTTATTGGATAGATACAAAATCGCTTCATTCCGAACTGACCCTTACGGCCGTCTCATGGCATGCATAACTTTTCTAATCAAGTTTGGATAATTTTACATTTATTTATTTGTCTTTTAATGCCAACTTCATATTTATAGAAAAATATAAATCAAAATGCTGAATAATTTTTTTTTTTTTTTGCTAAATTAGAGTGCAAATTTTTAATTAAAAATATAAATAATAAATATCAATGCTTTTGTCAAATATACGTAAAACATGTAATTCTGTTTGATACTTCATAAAATTGTTTAGTACTTTTTTCAACCTTTAATCTTACCTAGCATTTAATTCTAATCCTAAGTTTTAAATATAAAAGTATATACAGTCAACTCTTCCAAATTCGAACCTTGATAATCCGGACCTTTAGATATTTTTCATATAGGACATACAGTCCGGAATAAAGAATGCTGACTGTATATATATTGATATTGAACACCGTTGGTATTTTTTAATATCGTATTTGCTGATGCAAACAGTTAATAATAGACCGTTTTGAATAGTAAATTGGATTATGGTAAATAACGGTTTGTGATAATCAAAAAAAAAGGAAATCACCAAGAAACGGGTGATAATGTGAAATTTTCACATCGAAGTAATTTTAAGAAATTAGAAATCATCTAACAATCGAACGATTTCTCTAATCTGCAAATTTCACAAGATTACTGTAATAAACCTAATCTGATTCGGGTTTTGAATTTTCGATCTCTATATAAATCTTGCTAAAGTTATCCTTTAAACCGTCATGATAGGTGAGCAAGTTTGTCCGCTTAATTTTTTTATATAAAATTTTGATTCTAATTGACTTGGTGATTCCTTAAAGCTCAAGTCACATGTTATATTCAACCGTCAGATTTTAAATGATCTAATTATTGCGGTTTGCAAAAATTATGTGAATTTTTTTGATCATTAAAAAAAAGTAATCATTGATTTCCGATTACTGATTTCCGATTTCTTCAACATTTTTTTTGACTTTTAAACTTGACAAAATTTGCGCATTTATTATTTGTAAAACTTTGATTAAATATTTAATTCGCAACTCCTATTTCTGCAAATATATTACAAAATGATGAATATGCAACTTTTATT